TAGCTGACTCTTTGCCTTCACAGCTGAACATACGGCCGGCTGACTTTCGATCCAATAACGGCTGATCGGGGTGAAAGATCTGGGGGAGGGCGGCCGTTGGACATTTCCTCCGGCGGACAATTCTACCTTGCGATCCAGAGACGGGAAGCGTGGAGGCCGGCTGTCACCCGCAGCCACTGACCCTCCTCCGCGTTGGGCTCTCCCCATTCGGGGGGGGGGGTCCCCCGTCTCAGGGAGGCTGCTGCAGCATCGGGTTGGGGGGGAACGACAGGGCCGTGGGCGCTGGCATGGGCCGGATCTCCTGGGGTCGGGCCGGCTCTGGGCACCCACCAGGAGAAGGGCCTGTCCGGGGGAATGTCCCCACTGCAGGTGCCCCCAGCGCAAACTGAGGGTGCGCGCGCGTGCGGGGTCAGAGAGGGTGAGCCAGACCTGACCTCTCGGCTCCACGGGCTGGGTCAAGTCTCTCGGGGCGCCCTGGTAGTCCTGACACCTTCCTCCAGGCGGGTTTCCTTCCGTTGGTGCCATTCCTGAGTGATGTCGGGGCCCCAGCTCCATCCTTCTTGCTCACTGCCAGTTTCCAAGAACTCAGCGAAGGGCAGGGACGGGCACCGGATATTGGGTGAATGCATGGAGTCCCTGGGAAGGATGAAAAGGGTAATGCTAGCGAGCACTTACTTAGCGCTTACGGTATGCTAGGCGCGCCCTGAGCACTTCCCAGTTACTAACCCCGGGAGAAAGGAAGCAGCCCGAGAAAGGCACTCAGCAAATATTTCCTGATGCCTATGGAGGTAAGCTAAACTCCCTGGAGAGCTGCCCTCCTATTCCCCCGGGCGAGGCGAGGCGAGGCGAGGGGAGGCGGGCTGTATCCCAGGTGGAGCCAGACTCAAGTCTCCCTTGCCCTGCAGGGGTGAGGGTTGCTCCGTGCAGGCACCTCTCAGCAAAGCCCAGATCTCCGGGTTGCTGAAACCTGGATCCAGCACCCTCCCGCTCTGGCTGTCTGTTCCTTGGGCTACGCATTAGGGCCCCGGCATGAATGTCCATCATTCCAGCCGTGCGGTTATAACAGGACAGGTAGCGACTGGCCAGCAGGACTCGGACTCTTATAAGGGATCTTGAATTGCGAGATACGTAAAAGATCGTTTTATTCTTTCTTTTTTTTTTTAATGTTTATTTTTGAGAAACAGAGAGAGAGAGAGAGACAGAGCACGAGTGGGGGAGGGGCAGAAAGTGCGAGAGGGAGACACAGAATCCGAAGCAGGCTCCAGGCTCTGAGCCGTCAGCACAGAGCCCGACGCAGGGCTCGAACTCACGAACCGTGAGATCATGACCTGAGCTGAAGACGAGCTGACTGAGCCGCGCAGGTGCCCCAAAAATCGTTGTTTTCATTCATTCATTCATTCATTCACCCCTGTGGCTGAGACCGCCACCTGCTCATCCAACCCATTTCCCTTCCTTCCAAGGCAAATAGACCGTGTTTCCAGCCTCCTTGGCTCTTCCGTGCGCCCATGTGACTGAATCCTGACTAACAGAATGTGGGCAGCAGCCACATAAGCCACGTTTAGGCCTGGCTCACAACCCCTCCCCCCAACCCCCAAATCCCTTGCTCTCTCCCTTTTTCCATCTACCAGCTGAATGTGAGAGTCTCTGGGATCCTAGGGGAGGAGAGAGGCAGAAAATGGAAGGAGCCTGGGTCCTGGGAGGGCTGTCTACCCACTGAGAACACCATCATTGTGTCAAGCCACTGAATTGGGGGCTTGCCTGTTCTAGCATCTAATGTTATCCTAAAACACACACCTCAGTCTGCAAACACTTACTGAGTATCGACGGTGCGCCAGGCCCCGGGCCAAGCTCTGAGATGTAGCAGGGAACAAGCTTGCATTCGACTTGGAGAGACAGGGGACAAAGCAATACGATTATTACAGACGGTGGCAAGCACACCAGATAAAAATAGAACAGGAAAATGGTGCAGAGAGGCGCGGGGAGAGGAGAGCAGGGCAAGCTTCCTTGGGAAGGGACTAGAGCATCTGTCCCGAGATCTGGAGGCTGGCCATGCCAAGATCTGCAGGAAGGGCATTCCGGGCAGCGAAAGCAGCATGAGGAAAGCCCTGTGCGGGGAGAGAAAGGAAGCTGGTTGGAGGGAAGTGAGAATGGGGAGGAGATAGTTTGGAGGGGAAGGTGGGAGCCAGATCGGCAGAAGCCAGAGAGCACAGAAAGAAATTCAGATGCCACCCAGGAGTATTTTAAATGCTCTTACAAGGAGCGCCCGGGGGGCTCAGTCGGTCAAGCGCTGACTTTGGCTCGGGTCATGATCTCATGGTTCCTGAGCTCGAGCCCCGCATCGGGCTCTCTCTGTTCCCTCTCTCTCTCTGCCCCTTCCCTGCTCATGGTCTCTCTCTCTCTCTAAAATAAATAAGCATTAAGGATTTTGTTAATTAAAAGAGTTAAAAAAATAAAAAATAAATAAAAGTTCCCTTACAAGCCAAGCGTTGCGTCAAACCCCGACCATAAAATGATGAGCAAAAAAATAGACGCCACCCGATTCTCCTGGTGCTCAGATTCTAGGTCACCGACCGCCTGTCTGCTGCGTGAATCCTCTCGCAAGGGTCTCCCTGCCAAGCTGCCTTTGCTTGTCTGCCTCCAGTGACAGGGAGCTCACCATCTAACAAGGCAGGCCTTTGCATCTCTGTATAGTTCTGATGGTTCAGTGCCCTTCCTGAAAGTGCCTTCTGGGGGCTTTCGCCTCCACTCAGTGCCTCTGGGAGTAAATAGAGGCGTCACCCCCTTCTGTCTTATGGGAGCGGGGCAGCTGCTATGTGCCAGGCATCGGGGACACACAGGAGAATAAAATAGGCCCTCGCTGGCCAACAACTCGTGGTCTTTTAGGAGAAGAGATCTTATATGCTGTAATATTAATTTGCAAAGCCAGGTTGCCTAAAGCATGGAGAAGGAAGGAAAAATGGGAACCATTCTCATTTGGATGAACCAAGGAGGGCACTATGGAGGAAGGTTATTTCAGCCGATTGGAGGGCAGAAAGACCCAGATGAGGAGGGGTGGGGTGGGGTCTTCTCACTGGGGGGAGTTGGTGGGATACGGATTTGGCTCAGGGGGAGTGCCAACTATGTGGGGAGGTCCCAACTGTGTGCTGAGCCCCTGGATCCAGCCATACTTGAAGCGAACTTTTCAGGTCTGTGAGAAAACAAATGGCTGTGGCTTGAGCTACTGTGAGTTGGGCTGCTGTCACTCATGACCAGGAGCTCTGATCACACCAGAGAGCGGAAGGGAGCGAGAGGAGAAATTAGCGTGTATTGAGCCGGGCAGGATGCTTTCTCACTCAAGTTTCCCTTCGGCCCTGCGCACCGGGGAAGCTCTCTAATTTTACAGACAAGGCAGTTGAAACTCAGAGACAGACAGCGTGGAGTGAGCCCAGGCACAGCAGTGGCTCAGCCGAGGTTTGAACCCGGCTCTGTTCTGTAATGCAGACCCCCTCCGTTCCCTGAGCGCGCCCCTCCCGTAGACGGCCCTGCCCGCCGATGCTGCAGCAAGAAGATGGGAGAAGGGGGGTGTCGGGGGTGTGCCCCGAGTCGCAGAAGTGAGCCATGAGGTGGGAGAGAGCCGCTGAGCGCATCTGGATGGGGGAGAACAGCAGATGGCCCAGAGACGCCACCATGTCGTGGAAGTTTACGGCGGCAGGTTCTCCTCCCTGCTGCGTTTACAGGGATGTCTTCAGGATTTCCTTTTTGATATATGAGAGAGGCTCGTTGGCTGGGGCCCCCTGCGTCAGAGTAAATCACGGCAAACCTGCGGCCAGTGCTTGCGCGGGGCCTGCGCCCCGTGCGTGCTTTGGGATAAATCTTCCGAGCAACGTGCTTCCCCGTGTGACCCCGGGGACCAAACAGCATGAAGAGGTCAAGTACCAAGGGCAAAGAGGAGCTTGTCCTCGGCTCCCGCTCTGGACCACGACACAGAGCGGGGAGACGGTAAGAGGGCATATTGGTTTCTCTGGGCTGCTGTAACAGACAGGTCCCACAAACTAGGGGGCATAAAACAACCGAGATTTATTCTCTCGCGGTTCCGGAGGCCAGAAGTCTGGAATCGAGTGCCCACGAGGAGAGAATCCTTCCTTGCTTCTCCCGGCTTCTGGTGGTTGCCAGAAATTCTTGGGGGTCTTTGGCTCGTGGATACATCCCTCCAAACTTGCCCCTGTCGTTACGAGGCAGGCCTTCCCCTGGCATGTCTCTGCCTCTGCACCCAAATCTCCCCTCCATTCTCTGCTAAAGACACCGGCCACTAAATAAGGGCTTACTCTAACCCGTATGAGCTCATCGTAACTTGGGGGCCTCTGCGGGGACCCTGTTTCCAGAGGGTCACATGCCTAGGTTCTCAGTGGATATGAATTTTGAGGGGGGGGGGGACACTCTTTGTTTTTTAAAGTTTACTTATTTTTATTTATTTATTTTTTAAAGAGAGAGATAGAGAGCAAGCAGGGGAGCGGCCGAGAGAGAGGGAGACAGAATCCCAAGCGGGCTCTGAGCTATCAGTGCAGAGCCCGATGCGGGGCTTGAACTCACGAACCGTGGGCCGAGGTCAGGAGTCGGATGCTTAACCGACTGAGGCACGCAGGCGTCTCTGCGGGGGGGGCACGCTTTGATCAACCACAGAGGGTGACTGGGCAGTTCCTGTATGAAGGAGGAGCTTGTCTGGAGGTGGGCGGGGCTTCAGAATGTGCACATTCCCCCTTTGGGGGATTTCCTTAAGATAACAAATCTCGGGGCGCCTGGGTGGCGCAGTCGGTTAAGCGTCCGACTTCAGCCAGGTCACGATCTCACGGTCCGGGAGTTCGAGCCCCGCGTCGGGCTCTGGGCTGATGGCTCAGAGCCTAGAGCCTGTTTCCGATTCTGTGTCTCCCTCTCTGTCTGCCCCTCCCCCGTTCATGCTCTGTCTCTCTCTGTCCCAAAAATAAATAAACGTTGAAAAAAAAAAAAAAGATAACAAATCTCCTAGAAGCTTCTGCTTAGCCTGACAAACAGTTCGGCCCCTATGGGGTCTATGTAGGCTGAATAAGGCATTCTTTATAACCCAGCGACTCCACTCCTGGGAACATCCCCAGCAGAAACAAGTCCTGTGATCATCGGAAGACATGCACTAGAATGTTCACAGCAGAATTATTCATCTGGGCTGTAACTGGAAACTACCAAACGCCTGTCTCGGTAAATTGCAAAACCAGCCACAATCCTTTGCAGTCCATCCCATGAAGAAGCAGAGTCAATTTCCTTTCCCCTGGAACCTGGCCTGGTCTTGCAGCTTGCTGTGGCCAATAGGACACGGCAGAAGCGATGCGTGCTGGTTCCAAGACTTCGAGAGATGTTGCACGCTCCCCTTTGCTCTCCGGGAACTCCGCAGTCACCGTGTGAGAAGTCCCGGCTGCCCGGCTGGAGGATGGGTGAGCTTCCCCAGCTGGCGTCTTCCTCGACCAGCCAGCCCCAGCCACACGGATGCAGACACGCGAGCGAGCCCAGCCGGCATCAGCCCAGCTCAGCCCGGCCCAGAAGAACCTCCTAGATGACGCCCGTCCAAATCTACCAGCCGACGCACGTGCTAAGTAAATGACTGTTGCTTTAAGGCACTCAGCTTTGGGGAGCTTTGTTACCCAGCAATAGCTAATTGATACATCATCAAGAGTAAAACGGTTACGCTGTGGGATGTCATGTACCCGGAAAGCAGCTCATTACAGCAGAGGGCGTACAGAAGTAGGTGAACGGGATCTATGGTGAGGTAGGTCAGGATATCCGTTCTCCCCAGCTCCGGGGGGGGGGGGGCAGTGATTAGGAGGGGGTAGGAGAGGGGAATTCTGGGTGCCGGTTATACAGGTACATCTACTCGGTGAACCTTTGTTGAGCTGTAGACCTACAATGTGTGCTTCTTTGTGCGTGTAGGTTATACTATGGTAGAGATGGGAGAAAAGTGCCAGGTCTCTTGTTTCTTTTTTAATCGCCAGAGAGCCCATGGGATTGCATCTCACGCGGAGGACGGTGTGTAAGGGGAACATCACAAACAGCCAACACGCCCTGGAAAATTCCTTGGGAAGCTGTCATGTGGGGGCCAACTGCTATCTCTCCATAAATCCGGTATGGCCAGTTTTTCCACCCGCGTTGGGACAGATCACTATTTCTCCTGTCAGGCTCCAGACGAAGCAGAGGTTTGTGTGTAGGGGTCACACAGCAAGCCGCAGTAGGTAGGTGTTCACACCCAGGCAGACGCGTGGGACCAGAAGTGAGGGCTCGGCTTGGGGCAGGCACCCTTCAAATCCTGGGGGCCGGGGGATTTGCTCATCCTGCCTAGCCTCCGGTTGGGGCGGGGGAGGGACGTGTTTAGTTAAGTTGACCTTGACTCATTGTAACTAAGTTCTGATGCGAGGCCAGTGTGTTAAGGACGTAACTCTTGATCGACCGGTTGTTCTTCACCTATAACCCCAACATCTCCTGCTCCAGCTGGGACATCAGTGTTGTGTCACGAAGCCTGCACTGTGGTCCTAACGCGGTCCCAGGCAGGTCACCTAACCTTTCGGGGCCTCGGCGTCCTCATCTATAAATGGTGGGGCGGTAGACTGGGACAAAACGGGTGCCGTCTGCCAGTCTGGGGTTCTAAGTGGCCCTTTGGGAGATAAGAACACCCCAACCTCCAGATCCTAGGGGCTGCCATCGACTTTCTGGGTGACCCTGGGTAGTCCTGGTTTCCCTGCTTTATCTTCTCCATCTGTGCCTTGAGTAGATTGTCCCATGGTTTTCTTTTTGCAGGCGTTGGACAGAGGCAGGGGCTGGGGCTGCGGAAGAGGGCTGTGATCACCAGGTCCGGGGGGGGGAGGGATTGTCTGGAATAAAGACGGGCGACCATGCTCTGCAAGGTGGAACCCCGGGGTGCCGGCAAGGCGCTTATGGCTTGAGGGTGGGGTGAGGGTGCAGCTTCTCCAGCAGGCTGGCTCTCTCCTTAGCCTCGACATTCCTTCCTGAACTTGTAGAGTGTCCCGAACCTGGCTGGAGACTGGATGTTTCCAGGTACTGCAGGTGGGCCGGGGCGGGGGAGGGGGGGTGGGGGAGCTGAGAAAGAGCCTCGCACAGACTTGCATTCAGTGAATATTCACTGAGCAACTACTAGAGGCTGTGCTTGAGGCAGAGAGTGAGGTAGAGAGAGAGGGGAACAGAGACAGAGAAGAGACTGAAAGACAGAAGAAGAAGAGCAAAACCGAGGCACGTTTCGTCCACTCATTTCACAAGCGTTAACTGAGCACCTACTTTGTGTTAGAGGCAGGCTCGGAGTCGGGGCAGAGAGAAGCCGGTGGACTGAGTTTGTAGCTGGGCAAAACCTGCCCCCTTGGTTAGAGCCGGCTATTGTAGAAACACACACAGACTGAGGTCTTCTGACTGCAAAGCGCCCCCCGCCCCCATCCCTCCCGTGGATGGCTCCTGCCTTTGCCCGCTAACCTCCCACCCCTCATATTCTACCCTGAGGACCTCGCCTGGGGCTGGGTGGGCAGCGCGGGGGTCCCCGGGCCTGGTGGCTCACCAGGAGTGTCTGGGGGACCCTCAAAGAAACCATAGTGTCCCGGGACCCCAGCGTTCGCCATCGGGCCGCGGGGTTGTGGCCCAGGGCCTGGGAATCTGCAGGTTAGCAGCTGTTCCCGCTGGGGCTCAGCGGGCGTGGGAGCCCAGGTGGTGGACACGTGTCCCCGGGGGGCCTCCCCTGGGGCTCCCGCTGCTGTCACAGCCACACACGTCCTTCTGCAAACACACACGGCCCATGATTGATTCTCTGCCGTTCCCAGCCCAGCGGGTCTGATTGAATGGCCGACGTGCTGCCCAAACACCCTCCTGGAACCACTTCCCTGCCCTCTGCCCCGGAAGTCGTTTGTTTGTTTTTAGACGCAGCCTTTATGTCCAGCTGAATGGCCACCGGCCTCCTGGGGGCCGCCCATCCAAGCTGGAGCCAGGCTGGAGACTGTCTGGGGCTGGGGCTGGGGCTGGGGTGGGCAGTGGCCGTGTGCGGTCACTCGGTGAGCCTGGGGAGGACCCCCGTGCTTCCTGCACTCACCTGGGCATCTGTCCCATGTGGACACACACGGGGGTGGCCCTTGAGTAGCTATTTCTCCCTTCCCTTAACCAGGGAAGGTGTTTATTAAGCACCTGAGCCAGGCTCTTGCTGTTCCGGTACTTTCTGGTCTCTAGGAAAGAATCCACGGGCCACTTTTGTTGTTAAAAGACCAGCCTCTGCAACTCAACAGACTGGGGCTTGAATCTCAGTCTCACCCCTCCCTCCTGTGCCTCAGTTTCCTTATCTGCCCCATGGACGGGAAGGGAGGCTGGGAGGGTTCCTGACATCCTGGATGAGAGAGAAATGCCCCGCACCGGCCTGGCACACACTGGGCACTCAGAACCTCTTCCTTTCTCCCTCTCCCCCAATCCCCACTTCTCTTGGTCTCTGCCACATGGCCTCCCGTCCCACCCTGACCTGCACTGGAAAAGAAGGGAGTGTCTTGGGCCAGGAGTCCAGAACCTCAGGTCCTGATTCTCACTTTGCTGTACTCTGCTGTGTGATCTCAGGCAAATATCTGCCCCTCTCTGGTCTGGCCAGATCATCTCAAAGTCGCTCTCAGACTCTGGGTCCGGGTTGTGAGTTCCTGGGGACAGTGGAACTTTCTGTCTTGTCTGGTACATAGTAGGTGCTCTGGGAGTGAACATGGCAATGGGGTAAGTGCCTCATTAGCCATATCTGGGCACTAAATTGTACAGATTTGGTTGGAGGGCTTTGGCTCTCAGAAGGGGGCTCTTTCTCTTGGGAGAGCTGTGCAGGGGCGGGGTGGGAGAGGAGGAGGTTCCTGTATTTCTTCTTTTCACGGAAACCCTGTAGCCTGGCCTCCTCACTTTTGGTGAGGCAAAAATGGGGATGGAATGGGGTTAGGGGGCCAGTTCTAGCTGTTGGGCTGGAGGCATGCCTGACCCTGCCCTCCCCTCCCCTCCTAGGGATCTCCTGGGCTTTTCCCTCCTCCCTTCTGGGTTTAGCAGGTCTGGGAAGCAGGGCCTTGCACTCATCTGTTACTTCATCCATCCATCCATCCATCCATCCCCTTTCTCCGCAAGCACAGCTGTGGATTTGCCCTTAAGAGACCCAGCCTGGTGGAGGGAACAGCAGGTCAAGAGGCAGTGATGATTCAGGCTGTTGGGAGCTGTGATGGGGACTCACAGGGCATGTGGGAGCCCACGCGAGGCTCCTGAATCAGCCTGGGGGTGTTGGCTATCAGGACGGGCAGCCTGGAGGAGGGGGTGTTTAATAAAAACCCTGCAGGAGTTAATGGGGAGGAGATGAGGGGTGGAAGCGTTTTGGGTCAAGGGAATGAACAGCATGTGTAAAGTTCTGAGAATGGCACTCTAAGGAACCAGAAGCAACTTGAGGACAGCAGCAAGGATCATCTTCCCCGGATGTGTTAGCTCACTGAGCCCTCCCAGCCATCCACTCCCATTTTACAGACAAGGAAACTGAGGCCGGGAGAGGCAGAGACTTGCCTGAGGCCTCAGGCTGCCTGAGCCCGGCCTCCTCAACCAGCCAACGAGCTCAGCTGCAAAGGGGCAAGAGAGGCAGGGTTGACAAGCCTCCTCCCAGAGCTCCCCTGGGCTGGGCTGGAGGCCCCGGGGAGGCCCCCGCGGGTGGGGGCAGAGCGTGGGAAGGCAGTAAACTGGTTTGGAGCGGCAGGGCTTTCCTGTCGCTGCCGGTGGCCCCCTGCCTTTGTCCTCATGTGTCACTGAGGAATGTGGCTAAGGTCTGGATAAAGGCATCTTTGTTTGGAGGCCTCAGGAGGGGGAGGGGGAGGACGGAGAGAGGGAGGAGCATGGCCAGGAAAGGGTTACAGTCCCTCCCTTCTGGTGGTCCCATGTCAGGTCTGGGCAGGCAGCACCCGTGCCCTGTGGACACCCACATCCTCTGCTATGCTCTTAATGCACTTTCTGACTTTAGATGGGTAGCTTCCTTTTCTCTGAGACTCAGTTTCCACATCTGGGTAATGGGACTCCGCTTCCAACCTCTACGTATGGTTTGTTTCGAGGCTCCAGCCAAACAAGCTGCGTGGTTGACTTGTTGGGCCAGGTCTACTGATGAATGAGAAAAAGGCAGTCCGGAGAGGTAAAAAGACTTCCCCAAGGTCATGCAGCTTGACCTTGCCGGGGGGGTGGGGTGGGGTGGGGGGCGGGTGGTGGGGGATGAAGTCAAATGCCTGCTGACGTTGGTTGAGCAGGGAGATGGGCACCTGTCTGTCTCCTTCTGCGAGCGGCTGGGCTCTGGGAGGGGTCTTATGCCTCGGTGAGGGTGAGGAGTGACAGGGGTCACTTACATGCGTGTACTTGCTCACGGCAGCCTCTTGAGGGTGGGCTCTGGATTTACCCTTGGCCGCCAGTGCCCCCCAGTGCCGGCCCAAGGTGGGCGGCAAAGCCCAGTGCCTCAAGCCAGCCTCTGTGTGATCCCCGGCTGGTCTCGACCTTCTCGGTGTGTTGGTTTCCGTCTCCGTGAAATGGATCTACCGGGAGGGACACAAGTCACGGGGTTGCGGGGAAAGTTCAAGGAGAAATAGGCCCAGAGTCGGCCCAGAGCCTGGCACCGGTTAGCAGGATTAGTGGGACAATGGATATCTGCTTGATGGCTGCACAAAGGATTTTCTCAAGGTCACAGCACGGGGAGCTTGGATCAGCCCTGGGCTCCTCCTGGCTCTTCCTGCCCAGGAAGGAAGGGCGTGGACCCTGGAGGGGCTGTGATCCTGGGAGGTGGGGGGGGGGGGGGGCAGTGGAATGATAAAGTAGGTAGCCCCAGTGGCCAGCTCTCCCCTTTTGCGAGGAGGTGTTAGTGGGCTGGAGCTCGGAGACATGGCTCCACACCCCTCCCCACGGTGACAGACTTGGACGGACAGATGGGACAGGGCTCAGCATGCTTAGTCATGGCCCAGATATAATCTTGGCCCCAGGGGGCAGCTACCTCTGTCTTGCTCCCTCCCAGCCTCTTCAGCCAATCCCAGTAAATCCAAGCCAGTCTTTGCTCAGTGGGCAAAGGGAGTGGGGCTGAGCTCACTCCCTTTGGACGCAAGAGGAAATGGAAGCCCAGAGAGGGGGAGTGATCTACCCGAAGCCGCACAGCCAGCAATGAACGAAATTATGCACTCGCTCACCGACTTGGCGAATACTTTTGGAGTGCTAAGGGCAGATGAAGTCCTTCAAGAAGGGTGTTCCTGGAGGAAGCGTTGGCTTGTGCAAGAGAATGGAGAAGTCCTGGGATGGTTAAGGGTGCTGGTGCCGGAGCTGGTCTGTGAGGCTCAAATCTAAGCTCTGCCGCTTACTATGTAACTCTGAGCAGGTGAACGGAGGGCTCTGTGCCTCTGTTTCTTCACCTGTGAGCTGAAGATACTCAGAGCGCTTATGACATGGGACGCCTGGGAAGATGGCAGGGAGATGGCCCACAGAGGAGGCTCCGCACGGGGGCCTGGGGCACAGTAGGTGCTCAATAAACGGGAGCTGTTAAGAGGCGATCGAGAATACAGAACGTCTGGAACTTGAGCACCTTTAGTCGGAGGTGGGAGAGGGAACATCTGGGGCCCAGAGTGGGGTGTCCTGGCTCAGTGTGGGGGCTGGGGCAACCATGGAAGGGGTCCCGCGGTTTGACTGGCTGCTGTGAGGGGCGTGGGGGGGGGCAGGGAAGAGAAGGGAGCAGGAGGAGGAGAGGGGAGGGCGTCATCCGGGGCAACACCCCCGGGGTTCTGATGGAAGGGGGAAGAGTGGAAGGAAAGGGGAGACGACGGAGCCCTTGCCCGGAGCGGGGAGGCCCTCTAGGTGCCAAGCTAGGGGCTCAGTACACGATGAAGCCACGGGGCTCCGTGTTCAAAACTGCAGAAATAGTGCCCATAAAGGTACTAAGATATAAAGCTTGTTCTTTCCTTCTGCCTGTCCTGTCTGCTCGCCCACACGCCGCACTCCATTGCCCTGCCGGCCCTCATTTACCAAACACAGGTTCAGAAGATAAAATTAGGAAGAATTTTAAGACGGCAACAGAGAAACGTTGAAGCTGGTGCGGACCCATGTGACCGCAGAGATCGCGCGTCCATAAACGGACCCTGACCGTGCCCATTTTCCAGATGAGAAAACTGAGGCTTCGGGGAGTTAAATGCGGGGGGGACGCGAGCCCTGCAATTCTCACTCGCTCTGGAGCGCCCTGTTTTTCTCCGCTTGTGCCTTCTCCTAATTTCTACTGACCAAACTCCCGCGGAGGGTCCGACGCCAATTTACGGTAAAACGCTGTTCATAAGGACGCAAAGGGAGAGGCAACGTCGCCCTGTGGGAAGACCCAGCCTAGCGCCAGCTGTGTGACCACGGACGGGCCACTCTGTGCCCACGGTCCCCCTGCGGACACGGGCTTCGAGCCCAGAACTCCTGCCCACACCTGTCTTTGCCTCCAAGCCTCGCCCACCTCCACATCCCTGTCAGTGTCTGAGGCTTGAAGCAGCCGTAAAAAATAAAACCACAGTCCCCCCCCAGGGTGCTCGCCGGCTTCTCAGGCCTTATTTTTTTTGGCTGCTAAGGAGACTAATAAATGGCTTGCCACTTGACGTAATCATTAAGGGCTCCACTGAGCTGTGGGCAGCGTTTCCTCCCCTCCTTGGCCGGGCCTGGGGCGCCCAGCCATCGAGGGTGGCAGTGATGGATGGTGTCATCACGGGGCTTGCCCGGGGCGGGGGAGCGCGGGCGGTGGGCGGGCATAGCTCTCTCTCCTGCGGGCTCCCGAGCTATTCGTTATGGGAAGGGGGAGTCGCCGCGTGGGGGTGACGGCTGGCTTCCAGAAGGGGCACGAGCGGGACTTCCGAGGGGAGAGTGTTCCAGGGCGGATGTAGAAACTAGCGTTTGGGTGCAGGGAGTCCCTTGACGAATGGCCAGTAATAACAGACGGAAAGGAAAGGGGGTCTTGTAGGCGGTAGGTGATCCATACACGCACACGACGATGTGTGTGTGTGTGCGCGTGTGTGTGTAAGTTACAAAATTGTAAAACCGTTTCGAAAATATCACTAAAAACATGATAAAGTGATCACAACCATTTTCTCAGTTCTCTGACTCTCTCCTGGGTCTGGACCCTTTGCCATGCGGCTTTACGGTTCTTCCCATCAGAAGATGGTCCGTTTCCAGGGATCAGGGCTCGGTCACATGACTTGTTTGGCCAACAGAACGCGAGACATGGGGTGCCTTGCCTGTTCTGAGCCTAGGCCTCAAGGGGCCTTCTGGCTCCCGCGTGTTCCCTGCCAACCCTGCTGCCACCAGGTGAACCCAGCCGGGCTGGCCCTCGGGAGGGCGAGAGACCACGTGGAGAGGACATCGGACAGCCCCCATCAAGACGTCAAGATCACTGAAGCCACCCAGAGATGCCTATGTGAGCCCCGGGGAAGACCCACCTAGCTGACCCGCAGACGCAGGAGAAGTCCTAAATGCGTACCGTTCGAAGCTCTTGGTTTTGCGGTGGCTTGTTACGCAGCAGTAACTAACCGATACAGATCGTGATACCCAGTGCTGGTGATGGTGTGAGTGAATAGGTTTCCTCACGCAGAGCCAGCGGGAGGGCGGTTTGCTACAATTTTGCGTATCCATTGAAGTAACTAAAAGATGAAAAGCACTATGCTTTCTTTTAATGTTTATTTACTTTTGAGAAACAGAGAGACAGAGTGTGAGCAGGGCAGGGGCGGAGAGAGAGGGAGACCCAGAGTCTGAAGCAGGCGCCAGGCTCTGAGCTGTCAGCACAGAGCCCGACGCGAGGCTTGAACCCATGAACCGTGAGATCATGACGAGAGCCAAAGTCGGACGCTTAACAGAGTGAGCCACCCAGGGGCCCTGAATGTCCCCTTCTCACGAGCCCGTCCTGGGGGCAACAACACTCGAGGAGGTGTATTGACAGTCTTGGCTTTGGGGATTAGTTCCCTTGGAAATCCGAAAACATTTGTTTCCTGCAAAGATTTATTGGCGAGGATGTCCATTGCGGCATGGTTTACAGTGAACAAATAAAAACAAACAGAATGGCCAACATGAAAGAAACTGGTATTGCTTATTTTGCTGCTTTTTTATGATGGCTTATTGTTCACAGAGTTTTCCTAATAGTGCCCAAATAAATTAAGATACGGTCTAGGTGGAAAGACGGTTCGGCCACAAAAATGGGGGTCTGGAAGAAAATCTGCTGACATTAAAATTTTCAGGTTGTTACTTGAAAGTAAAAATCAAGTTGCAAAAGAGAATTCTGTTTGTTACGTTTATTTATTTATTTTGAGAGAGAGGGAGAGAGCGCACGTGCATGTGTGCGAGCAGGGGGAGGGGCAGAGAGAGAGGGAGAGAGAGAATCCCAAGCAGGCTCCGTGCTGACAGCGTGGAGCCCGATGTGAGGGTCAGTCCTATGAACCATGAGATCATGTCCCGAACCAAGAGTTGGACGCTTAACTGACTGAGCCACCCAGGTGTCCCAAGATACAATTCTCATGCGATCCCGATTCTTGTAGAAAATTGTTTTATCTCTCTCTCTCTCAATCTGTACAGAGAAAATCATGTGGAGGAAACGAACCCAAAATGTTGTCTGGGTTTGTTCCTTGTGGTGGGGTTATATGCACCTTGTTTTTGTCTTCTTTGTATTAATGCATTTATTTTGAATTTATTCGGTGCCAGGTACCTTATGAAACACGTTTGGGCCTCCACGAGTTCTCACAGTGAATCTTAGAGGTGGATACTGGCACCCCATTTCACAGAGAGCTCCCCATTTCACCGATGACACCCTTAAGACGGAGGGATGCTAAGCAACTTTGAGTTAGGTGAGAGAGTGAGTGAAGGAAGGAAGGAAGGAAGGAAGGAACCAGAAGCCTGTAGCCAAGATGAGTAGGAGTCTGGAGACCTCAAGTAAAAAACAGTGAAGGGGCACCTGGGCGGCTCAGTCGGTCATCAGTTCAGGTCACGAGCTCCATGGTTCATGAGATCGAGCCTCACATCAGGCTCTGCGCTGACAGTGTGGAGCCTGTTTGGGATTCTCTCTCTGCCTCTCTCTCTCTCAAAATAAATAAACTTAAAAAAAAGCCCCCACCAAAAAAAGAGAAAGGAAGGAAGGAAGAAAGAAGAAAGAAAGGAAGGAGGGAAGGAAAGAAGGAAGGAAGGAAGGAAGGA